GGGCACTGTCGGCTGCAGATCACCACGGGGGGGTCGCGAGGATTTTTAAAGATGCCGTGATAGCTCATCTCTGCATCACGACCTTTGCCGGAGTGAGCGAGCGGGCCGCTGTTTTAAAAAAAATTAATATATATTCCATCCACTAAGGCTGCAGAGAGATGCTGTGTGGGAACTGCTGGGTGCAATATTAAAATTTTTGCTCTCTGAATATTGCAATACTTTTTTTTATATGTTTTGACCCAGAGGCCTTGTGCTGGGTCTGAACACTGCCAGAGATTTTCCTGAGCTGGAGATGGTCTGACCTTTGGAAGGTGCAGCAGAGCTGTGTGTCTTCCTCTGCATTTCTCCTTTACAGGTGGGATTTTGTTTGGGATTTTGCACCAGAGCGACAAGCAGCAGCAGCCCTTGGAGGGGAGGAAGGCAGCACAGGGACTACTTGTGGAAAAGCAGATGCGTGTGTGCTCACAGGCAAAAAAAGGCTTGTGAAAAAACCTAAATGAGTAAAAAAGCAAGTGCTGCCCCTGCAAATGCATCTTTCCCCGGGCCAGGGTGCTGAGGCTGCTTCAGTGAGCGCCGTGGTGTGGTGGGAGCAGCTGGGACCCAACGGGAGCAGCTTGGATTTCCACGGGTGAAGCTGCGGGGGATGTGGAGACTGAACAGGAATTCTGTAGCTGGAATTGGGCCAGAAGCCCAGGACTCGCACTCCCGGCTCGGGCTGCAAGTGCCACAAGACTCAAACCATGAGGTGGTCAGGATTTGGGTTTTACATCATACCTATTTGTAGAGGAAAAGATTTGTGGCCTTGTGGACTATTACAAAATCCCTGGTAGCAGCAGCTCTGGTGACTGGAATCAAATCAATTCCAGACTGAGACCTTCTATTAGTGGAGACTATTTAGGGAAGAAAAGGGAGAATATCTCATTTGTCTCCCTGAAACGGTGATTTCTGAGTTCCTGGTGCTGTTGGTGAGGACTGGAGAGGGGTCTGTGGGCTAAGACACCTTTCTGAGTAACCTCGCTCATATCTTTCACACCCCAGTGGTGCCATAAAGCCCAAAAGGACAGAAAAAGTCCAGATTTTGCTCATCTACACCCAACCTTCCAGCGTTTGTCCTGATTAAATGACCTGGCAGGAAATAAACTTCCCAACCACCTTGAGATGCCTTCAGAAAATGTTTTTTTTCAAGGGGGGTTGATTTTAGCAGGAAGGGCTGAGGGGCACAGGCAGAAGAAGGTGTGAAGTCTCCTTGGAAGCCACGTGCTGGTTTGAGATCCAGTGAAATTGGGAGAAACAGATTTTTTGGAGAGGGGACCACCAAAGGCATTAACTCCTCATGCTCCTGGCAGCCTGGTGCACCTCTCCATCCCAGAGAGCAGATATTATCTACTATAGATTTATTTCCAGTCTTCTTTTCAAGACATGATGTCAGGATTATAATAACCTGACTAAGGCAAACCCTGGATGGAATTACTATTGTGTTTATCAATTTCCTTTTTCTTTTCTTGTCTCGATTAATCATGGAACAAAGTGATGGAAAAGTCCTGTTAGACCAACCTGCCTCCCAGCCAAGGCAGGACTGATCCCTACATCCACCGTCTTCTGTTTCATCCAGTCTATTTTTAAAAAATCCCTAGTGACAAGACTTCTTGAATCACAGGAGCGAGGAATGGAAAAGACCTATTAGATCATGCAGTCTGTCTCCTGGCCAGTGCAGGCTGTTCCCTACAGCCCAGTTTTTAGTGTTTTAGCTTCCACCTTCCTTTCCCCAGGGAGATTATCCTGCTGGCTAATAGATCTCACACTCAGGTTTGCTTGGAGTCATGCTGGAAAGCAAAAATGTCCGGCACTGGCCTCAGCTGACTGAAAGGACTTTAAGTCTGGTCTGTAGGATGGGAAGAGGGTGGGTGAGTGGGCTCTGCCCTGCTCGGACCCTGCGAAGCTCCCTGGGGCAGGGGCATGCTTTGCTGCCTCATCTCGTCTCGGCAGCTGGGAAGGGACCTGTTCTGCTCCAGACCCCTCCTGTTTCCCTGTGCTGATGCCGTGCTGGCTCTGGGGCTTATGTACAAGATGGACAGACCAGCCTTGGACAGGCTAATTAGCTCTGAAGCATCACTGTTAATTGGGTTTTAGGCAAAAAGGACATCTGCTTGCAAATATCCCCACAGTGGGCCAGTGCCTGCTGCTTCCTGCACATCCACACGGTGCACACCTGCAAAACCCCCCTGAAAAAACTCCCAGCATGATCCCTCACACTGTGGAGGGAGCTTGGATGGGTGCTGGGGGCTCCCATGGGTGCTGGGGGCTGTCACCTGCCAGGGAGCCGCATGGCCGATGTGCCCCAGCCACGAGGTGCCCTTGATCCCTTGCAGCGCGTGGTTTTGGGCTCTACCCCAGCCTTATCTGCCTCGAGTAATCAAAAATAATTGGTTGCTCCCCAGTGGACTGATCTAATAGCAGTACGAATAAAGTTATTTTGAACAGTTGTTCATGAGTTCATCTCCTGGAAAGCCTCAGTCCCAGCTGTTGCTGTGCTTTTGATTAAAAAAAAAAAAAAAAAAGCACGTCTCAGCCCTCCCTCCTCCCTGTGTCAGGTGCCCGGCCGGGCTATAAACCGCTCTTTGTGTGCGGCTCTCTCGCCCCTTTCTCTCTGAGTTGGCACCAGCGCGGCTGGGATTTGGCAGCTCTCCGCGGCGTGCCGAAAGTGGGGTGCTGGCAGCGCCGGCGCGGGGGCCGCGGGTGCCCGGGGCCTGGCTGGCAGGCAGCGCCCCAGAGGGTTTAGTATGCGAATGGTCACCGAGGCCTTTGGCCAAGTCCGTTTGTTAATGGTCAAGCTATGGGGAGCTGCTCGGGGAGAAACGAATTCAGTGCAGGTGGGGAAAAGGGAGGGTGGGAGTGGGGATGGGGAGAAAGCGTGTGGGTCTCTGACCGCTCCCCAGTAACGGCCAAGTGCAGAGGTTGGGGATGGCGAGGACATGCTTGGGGAGTGACCTGCACCAAACATGAGCATAATTTCAGCACCGTTCAAGCCCAGGGTGGTGGTGGGCTGTCCTCTCCGGGAGGGCCGAGCCTCCGACACTGCCCCATCCACCCTCCGGCAGAGCAGCTTGTGGAGGAGCTGGGCAGCGGGATTTTGCCTGCAACCACTGACCCACAGCCCATCCCTGCACAGCAATAACTGCCGTCCATGCTCCAGGGACAGGCTCTGAGCTGAAGGCTGACCACGGGGCAGGGATGTGCAGGCTCCCTGGGCAGGTCATCCTGCCCGAGGACCCTCGCAGGACACATTCCTGGGGTCTGTGGGTGAGTACGGAGCCCAGCTCTCCTCTCACCCAGCTCCACCGTATGGTTTGCTGCTCCATGGCCGCCTGCCACCGCCGAGGGTGAATCTGCCGTGTCACTCCAGCAGCACAACCTTTGCAGGCTCGAGGCTTTGTTTTTAAAGCATCCTGGTCTCTGCCTTAACCCCTCAGAGAAGGCAGGAGAGCGCAGGGCAGAAAGGTCCCCTCTCCCCTCTGCAGTGGCAGCTGTGGGGCCCCACCACCAGGACAAGCCCCTGGCCAGGCGTGTGGTGAGAGCCAGGGCTCGGGCTCTGAAAAGTCAGCGCCGGAGCAGTTCATCCCACTCCTCTGCCTGCCAGAGCAGAGACGCGTTCAGCTCCCACCTCCTGCTCCAGGGCTTGGCCAGGACAACCTGTGCTCTGGCAGCAGCAGGTTTAGGATGGGTGGGAGATGGTGCCTTGACCCCCCCCCGAAATGCCATCAACATCTGGGTGCACTCAGTCCGGTCCCAGCCCCTCTCTCCAGCACAAAATCCAGCTGGACACACGTCCTGGCAGCTGGACAGACACAGTGGGAGAGCTGGGGGTCACCCCCTTCCCACATCAGGGTGGACTTTGCTTGGAGAAATTCTTGCTGAGGCAGAACAATTAGAGAAGCGCTATGGACCGGACATTCGGAGATGTTCTTGCCGAGACAGGATAATCACAGAGAGGATCTGGACAATAAAGAAGTTTCACACTTAACTTTCCTTGTCTAATGAATTAGGTAATAACAGAGTTATTCCATACATCCGCCTAAGGAGATCCCTCCTCCTTCTGAATAAAGATAATTTTAAAAGCAGACCCATGAACTCACACCAATAATTGTCCCAAGGTTGGGAAAACTTGGGAGCAATGCGGTGAAAAAGGGCAAATCAGATCAAAAGGCAGAAAAAAATGCCTGACAGTACCAAACCCTGAACACGTTCAAGGCTGAACATGCACAATGCCTTAAACTATACGGCTGCCCATAAGGAGATGTGTAGTTGGCCTAACAGTCATCACTATACCCACTGAATTAAGATATTAATTCACAATGTCCGAGTCTCCTCTAATTCTCTTCCCTGCTTCGAAAAGAACATTGTACCCAAAGCACTGCAGGTTTCTAGAAGCAAATTTCACACAGCATCCCCACTCTCCTGGCTTTCTCGCCATGGCTCTTATTTTCCTTTCCAGCATCAGCATCTAAACATCTGGGTCGTGGTGAAGCTTAGAGCTGGAAGCGACACAATATAGTGAGAAAGGATGTTTTTGTGCTATTTCCAACCTTCCCAGAACAGAGAACTTCAGAAA